TTTTAGTAGAGACGGGGTTTCACCATGTTGACCAGGATGGTCTCGATCTCTTGACCTCGTGATCCACCCGCCTCGGCCTCCCAAAGTGCTGGGATTACAGGCATGAGCCACCGCGCCCGGCCTGTCTATTCAACTCTTTATGAAGCTTCACGTGGTCAGAGTTTATTTCTCTACTTTCCCCAGTTTCTCAGAAGGCTCCGCTGTTAATTGTCGGTGTGAACAGAGTGATTCAGATATTGGATTTGGTGACTGTTGGTTGCAGGTGCCGGGTGGGTGAGAACTGGTGGTACCGAGGCGAGCACTGTGAGGAGTTTGTGTCTGAGCCCGTGGTCATAGGCATCACTATCGCCTCCGTGGTTGGACTTCTTGTCATCTTTTCTGCTGTCACCTACTTCTTCATCAGGACTCTTCAAGCACACCATGACAGGAGTGAAAGAGAGAGCCCCTTCAGGTAAATAAGGAAAAGAGCTCTCTAATGGAATATGTTGTTGCATTTGCATATTTATTTAATACTTACCGGGTGCCAAATATTAGACACGGAGCTGGGAGGGTGGAAGAGAGCTATGAATTTAAGTAAACACATGGCCCTTGTCCTCAAAGGGGTGTCACATTGAAGAAAAATAGAAGTAGCACTAAGAATAAGACGCTAAGGAGCCTAGATGAGGTATAAGTTAGTTTTGTCTGGGGAAGAAGTCTCAAAAAGTTTTAATGATGGCTGTGGTAGTTTGCTGGAGAGAAAGAGTAGACATTTGTTACTTTTGGGCTGGGATGCTTTCTAGCTGGTTGAATGAGCAGGAGCAGAGTCAGGGAGGCATGTATGAACTTCGAGGTGCTTGGAAGGAAAGGCATGGTTGAATGTGGACAGAATGCCTATTTCAAGGTCAGGGAGAGTTTGGAGAAGCAGTGATGGAGATGAGACAGAAGAGGTGAATTTTCCTTCTGGGAAGACCAGATCTGTTACAGCTTTCTCCTCTTTGGCTCTTATGAGTGGTAATTAGCCAGATTTTAAATCTAGGTAAGAGTCTGTCAAGAAATGAAATCTCATTCTCTGTTGAGTTGAGTGTGGCTTCATTGACGGGGAAATAAAAGTGAGTCCATTTGCTGGACTACAGATTCAAGGAGCATTATCACACGGTATGCTTTGCTTCGGTGCTCCTAAAGTCTACAAGAGCTACAACTCGAACTGCAGCTTCCCTTCCCTCACCATCGGACTTAGCTAGGTCCTGGAGCACCTGGGACGTACCTCCATCATTGTTATTATACTTTTTATTGTATGTGACTTTTCATTAGACTATAATCTCATTCGGGGCAGAGATAACAGATTCTTTGTATCACCAGCATGTAGAACAGTCCTATGCACATAATCAAGGCTTAGTAAATATGTGTAGACCTGAGTTGAATGTAATTGAGGCCCTGCTTCCCCTAGACCCTAATATTTTTATTTCAGTCAGATTTGCTGTGTGACTACACACTGATTTTCTATGTGTATAACTCTGGGAATGACGAAGCTATAGTTTAGGAAATGCTGTCTACTGGCAGACATAGTTCCCAACATTTACGAATGGCAGGCGCTATGACAAATAAGATGAATGAGACAAGGAGCAAGTCCACGGGGCACTTGCCATGGACGTGAGGAAATCATGGTAACACCTGATAATTTTTGAAATTGATCTGGATATTTTTCACAGTTACCTCCTGCCATTTGTGTGAAGTTCACCTAGTTTTCTTTCCCAACAGAAATCTAGTCCCAGGTAAATACTTTTCCAAATAGTTGAGCCTCCAAACGAGAGCCTGAATCAGCCATATCTTTCTTTCAGTGGCTCCAGCAGGCAGCCTGACAGCCTCTCATCCATTGAGAATGCTGTGAAGTACAACCCGGTGTATGAAAGTCACGGGGCTGGATGTGAGAAGTATGAGAGACCCTACCCTCAGCATCCTTTCTACAGCTCTGCCAGTGGAGAAATGATTGGTGGTCTGAGCAGGGAAGAAATCAGACAGATGTATGAGAGCAGTGAGCTTTCCAGAGAGGTGGGAAACTTTGCATTTCTGTTGCTGTATTGTTGCTGTTGCAGCTTCTGCTGATGTGTGTGTGTGGGTGTGTGGGGGGCTGGGGGTGGGTGTGTATGGGTGTATGCATGCATGCACATGGCTTTAAGAAAGTATAAAAAACATTTAGTAATTGCTTTTACCTATTTCCCAGTCAGTAAGATATGCACAGAGTATTCAATTCTGAGCAGTTCCTTATTCCCCACCCAATGGTGCTTTTTTTTTTTTTCATTATTAATTGGTACTGTCTCCTTCCTCCCTTTCTTCCTTAGAAATATGTCTGATTTAGAGCACGACATGTAATATCCAGAGTAGTCTACGTAGATTCTTCCATTTCTCTGAAAGTGCATTCTTTCTTATAGCACATTTGTGAATAGCCCAGAATGTAACAATTGTTTATGAAAATTAGAATTCCTTTTAAAAGGCTGTTGGAGTTTTTCTAATGTCGTGTGTGGCCTACTTTTTCTTTTTTGTTTAAGGAAATTCAAGAGAGACTGAAAGTTTTGGAGCTGTATGCCAATGATCCTGAGTTTGCAGCTTTCGTGAGAGAGCAACAAGTGTAAGCTTTTGAAACAGCCCCCTCCCCAACCTACAGACTTAACAGTGTGCCTTAGGTTAATGTCACACCTGAGTGAGCACCTAATTTCCTGTCCATGTGACAGGAGTCTTGGTGATCATTCTTTTGTGGAATATCTCAAAACTGACGTTTCCAGCAAAATCCCATGTTATAGGAAATAGCAGTAAGACTGCCTGTAAAACACAGATCACCAATATCTGTTGAGTTATTTGCAGCTTATGTATGTCCGTACAGATTATCTGATATATTCCTTACAACGGCTTTGTAAATTGGGTATTTCTCATTTGAGGAAAGGAAATCTTGGAGACATGAAGGGACTTATGATGACAGTGATATCCAGTGGCAAAGAAGATTTAAAACTAAGATACTATCTGTTTTGGACTAGAGATGCCTGGACTATGTGATATTTTCTCCCTTGTTATCCTAGATCTCACCAGTGATCAATGCCATAAAATATTTTTTATAGATAGTCCCTGTGAAGAACATTGGAGTAGCCATAAGTCCTCACATATGTCAACATATTCTTTTTTTTTCACTTTTTAAAAAATTATTTTATTAAAACAAATTTTTTTTTTTTTGAGGCAGAGTCTCGCTGTGTCACCAGGCGCCAGACTGGAGTGCAGTGGCGCGATCTCGGCTCACTGCAACCTCCGCCTCCCAGGTTCAAGCAATTCTCCTGCCTCAGCCTCCCGAGTAGCTGGGACTACAGGTGCGCGCCACCAAGCGCAGCTAATTTTTTTTGTATTTTTAGTAGAGACGGGGTTTCACCATGTTGGTGAGGATGGTCTCAATCTCTTGACCTCGTGATCCACCTGCCTCGGCCTCCCAAAGTGCTGGGATTACAGGCGTGAGCCACTGCGCCCGGCCTCAACATATTCTTTTATCTCCATCTCTGTAGATACTTTTCAGTATGCTTTGAATTACAGATCCCATTAAACTGTATCTCTTGCCTCTATCAAGTTTATCTTAATTTTCCCATTTGCTTTTCTCAGGATGTATTTTGGGCAAATGTCTGTAATTTTTCTTTTTTTGTTCTCAGGATTCATTACTAGACATAGGTTACAAAATAAACTACCTTGAAAAGCCCGTCGTGGGCATTAGTTGAGTGTATTGGGTAGGATTACAGTTTGGTATTGATATTTGGTCCTACTGTTGCCTTTAAGGAAGTGTTTGCTCATGGAGGGCCACACCAGGTATCTTCACTTGGCTTTAAGAAGGGAAAAATCAGAGCAATTCATGCATGCTTATAAAAGAATTGATGAAGGGTCAGAATTACACCCAGGGCCCTGTGTGGAACTCTTGCCCCTTTGCTCAAAATTCTTTTTCTCTGATAGGTGGCTCCTTTGCTCATGGTTTCTCTCTAAGAGAAGGGACAAATTGATACCTAAGGAAACGGAGAAAGAGGCTTTTCAAATTCCATGTGCACGGTAGAGATACCTCTAAAAATCTCTGAACATCTGACTTGGCTTCCAGGGGTGCTGCCAGTCTTGCTGAATGCAGCAAGAGCAGCAGCATCAGGCGTTGGCCTTTTAAACCAGAGAATCCCTTCATCTCTGCATCTTCAGCCAGCAGATGGCCCACGGCTCCATTTCAGTAGTATCCAGTAGAAAGGACATGAATGCTTCTGTCCTTCTTAAGACCCTTTAGAAGCCTCTCAAAGCTACCTGCCTGAATATGTTCACCGAATTAAAAATACATCTTTTCTAGGCTAAGACATCAAAAGGAAGGATTCAGGAGATCCTTAAAGGAATAGGCAGATTGACTTCGTACTTCCGTTTCTTCTGGTGCACTGTCAAACGTTGAAATATACAAAAAGGATCTGTGAAACAAAGAAGTTTTGAACTAGAAGACTCTGTGAAACAAAAGAAAGTCCACACAGACTCTGTAACCTTAGGAGGTTCATAGAAGGAATATGACCTTGAGAAGATGTTAGGCAGACAATCCATACAGCATTTTTAGTTTTTACTTCGTTTCAGAGTTTTCATCTATCAGGTAGCCCAAAAAACGTTCTTGGATTTGATTCAGTTAGTTAAAGCATTACATGGTCTCTGTAGACTGGATTAAAAAAATTTTTAGCATAGCACAGAGCAACTTTCCTTCAAATAAATAAAAAATAAAAAGTATTCATGATTTTAGGAATATAGCTTAGCGATATATGACAATAATTGCATTCTTCGTTTTTTTTTTTTTTTTTTTTTTTAAACTGCTTTTTTTTTTCTTCATGGCAGGGAAGAGCTTTAACCAAACTCCTGTTCTGAAACTGATTCGAAGACTAGAGAAGATGGACATTACTTGTTACTTATGTCATATAATTAGCCTGGATTTTGAACACTACTGGAAGAAGAGTTTTCTATTTAAAAAAAAATGTAGGGCACACTGTGTGGTTTTTTTTTTTTCAGCATAAGTTTTCAAAATGTAGTAAGAGATGTTACCATTTTTATTTCTATAATGGCCGAAAGCTGTGTTTAAAGAAGTTGAAGACTACATAAACTCTGGAAAGTATTCCATAAGAAAAAGCTGGACCTGGGCGTTAGGGCTGCAGTTGCTGTCTGCTTCTGAATCATTGAGGGTGTCTCCTAAGAACTGTGCCTCGAGTTTCTCAATAGGAAAATAAGGTGAGATTCTTACATGGAGAAGTCAGGCTTAGTAAGGGAATATTTTGGAGTATATTTGTTATTATTGGGTAGAATGGGGAAACCTTTGAAGTAGTCTTAATGTATGCATAGCTCGTAGGCATTCATCTAAATAAAATATTTTCTTTCTTTTTTTTTGATCAAACTGCTAAAGAAAAAGCAACCTTTTGTGCTGCAGGATAAAATTAGGGTTGTATTTTATGTTTCTATCAGTGTTTTGCATTTCCTGAGCATTTTCATCAACACCACATTACTGTTAACTATGTTACTATCTTTTTTTTTTTTTTTTTTTTTTTAGTTTTCAGGAACAATGCATATATGTAAAATTTAGAAGATTCCCATTAATCTGAAGACGAATTTAATCACATGGGCAGGGAGGGAGGGAGTGTGAGTCAAGACCCCAGTGCTGAGGAGATATTTTGTTTCTTGATTGTTGGACTGAAGTTCCCTGATTGCTTCTGAGATCTAAAGATGTCTTGGGCAAATCCTGTCTCTCCTCTAGTTCCTGGTATACTAATTTGGAAAACAGCAGTTAACTACCTCACATAATATAGATTAGCTCATTTTCATCGCTTCTCCTTTGTGTCTAAAGTAACTTCTGCTTCTACAAAACAGGGCAAGGCTTTTATTGCAATTAAAATACTTTAAAAACTGTACAGATAGGAAGTCCATACTTTATGTAAATTTTGACAGAAAAATGGAAGTTTTCCTGTTTCTCTTTAGTGTGTGTGTTTTTTTTTTTTTTTTTTTTTGAATGGGCTGCTTTGGAGGAGAAGAGGAGGCAGCCATATCATCATCATTATGATAGTAAATTTCATATGCAATAGGTTATTATTAATGCAGATACTTTATGTTAGATGTCTTCATGTTTGCCAAAAACAATTCTGAACATTTCGATTTATTTCTAACAAGATATAAATAACCAGCATAAACTGACCATAAGATAAAATACTTGGTTCACTTTTTTTTCCTCAACTTGATGACTGCCAATTCTACTTGTTATGAGGACACCGGAAGCTAACCACCTGGGCTTGGTGCATGCCACAGGAAAGCTAGTGAAAGCCTTGAAAATGGCCAGGTATTTTGCAAAGTATGTATGCATAACAGGTTGTGTGTGTGTGTGTGTGTGTGTGTGTGTGTGTGTGCGCGCACGCGCATGCGCGCCCACGCAACGGTGGAATGTGTGTGTGTGTGCACGCGCATGCGCGCCCACGCAACGGTGGGATATGTGTGTGTGTGTGCGCACGCGCATGCGCGCCCACGCAACGGTGGGATGTGTGTGTGTGTGCGCACGCGCATGCGCGCCCACGCAACGGTGGCTCCCTTATCCCAGTATTTCCTTTCATTCCCTACTCACATGATGGATCCTCTAACAGTTCAGCATAGGTGTAAGCCCCTGCTGGGACACTTTCCACTGGGCCCATTTGGAAAGTAATTGATAATTATCTTTAAGACATTATAAGTGTTAATGATATTTGTCACTACTAAATGCTTAATTTTATTATAAAACTTCCAAAGTTTTCTGCTTAAGATTGTAAACTGTTTTCCTAAACTATGTGTTAGATGAAAATGTATTTTAGCACAAATTCACCTTAGACTGCAACTCCTTGAATGTGTGCTTGCTGGAAGAATTCTAGATGGACACAAATCCCTCTAGGGCAGGTCGCCATGTGGAACACTTAGGAGAAGCACAAACTGAGCCAAAGGAGGACCGCTGTTTTCCACAAGCTAAGCAGCGAAGCGGGAATCTGGGAATTCTGACACGTGTCACCATCTCTGATTTCCTTTTGCATGATCTTTTCATGCAAGAGCAGAACAGTTAGCTCTTCATCAATGTCTGCTCCACACCAATGAAATGGAAGAGTAAAGGAACCCCTCAACTGTCAGGGAAATAACAGGAAGCCTCAGTTGCGGAATACAACTTTTGTCTTACCTTTGCTGTGGCTGAAACACTGTCGAAAGCTTGAAGAACAGTTTCCCCAGCAAAAATCCGCTCATATACAAAGCAAAGCACTAAAGGAGCTATCAGTTTGATGAAAAAAAAGACTCCTAAAGAGCTTCTTTCCAAAAGGCCTTCCTTAAAGAGGTTTTGATGGCATGTTGTCATTTAAAAGTCTTCGGCTAAACTCTCATTTACACTGCACAATCGAGGAAGGAAATTTTCTGAGTACTAGTACGTTCTTGTTAACCTAGCAATGTGATATTCTAAAAGACTATCACCTTATTTGAAAACAATAAAATGCAGTTAGCAATAAAAGTGCATGGTAAATAACCATTTAAAAAATTTGTAAGATACTGTGGTGTTTTACAGATGTAGCCTTTATAATTGAATTACATATACTATCTTTTTATGGGTTGTGGATAAAGGGGAATTTATTTGATAAATAGGGCTCCATTTTCACCAGTGCAATGGTTTAAGGGCACTTGTTCCCATTCGTGTGATCTGAAGTCTCATTTACTTTATTATTATTATTATTATTATTTGTTGAGATGGAGTCTTGCTCTGTTGCCCAGGCTTGAGTGCAGTGGGGTGATCTCAGCTCACTTCAACCTCCGCTTCCCAGGTTTAAGTGATTCTCGTGCCTCAGCTTCCTGAGTAGCTGGGATTACAGGCACCTGCCACCTTGCCCGGCTAATTTTTACATTTTTAGCAGAGATGGGGGTTTCACCATCACCATGGTGGCCAGCCTGGTCTTGAACTCCAGACCTCAGGTGATCCACCTGTCTTGGCCTCCCAAAGTGCTGGGACTACAGGCGTGAGTCATTGCACCAGGCCCCATGTACTTTATATAATAAAACAAGTGCAGGCTTTATCTGATTTCATTCCCATCTTCTGTTTTTTCTTCTACATTATCTAGTCACCATGGGTTGGCTCCGCCCCACTTTCTCTTTTTTATATTTTCTCTCTTTTTTTGGTCACAGTAAATTGTAATGTGGTTGAACAACTCTGACTTAATATTACCTCTAACAAAAAGATAGAAGCTGCACAAATATTCTTTGTAGACTCTCAAAGCAGGTCGGCTGAAGTCTAGTTAGTACCTGAACTAACTATCGTTTGTATGCTTTTATTGTTATTATTTTTTTAATAAATTTGACTTCCAGTTTATGATTTTTTGGTAGCTTTGTGTTATTTCTGTTTTCAACAGTGGGAACTTTGACATCTTTCTGTCCCTGAATTGAATGTTCATTTTGCAAGGGGAAGAAAAGACGACATATTTATTCCATAATGAAAGAGCTAATGTAGAATAACTATTAAATTGAGGTGTTTTAGCAAAAACCAACCAACCAACCAAAAAAACAACCACCCAAATGGGTTGTTGTTATTCTTTTCTAAAACGTTTCTAACAATTCCCAGTAGGAATGGGTGGGGCCAGCCTTCCTCATTTACAATCCAGCTGCCGTGAGTCAAGAGCCTAGCTTGTTCTATTCCCAATTGTGTAATAAATGCAGAAAAAATGATGTGAAGGTCATAATCCTCAAATCCATTGCACTGTATTTCACAAAGGATATCCTGGCAGAAGGTGGGAGGGTACCATGATGTAAAGAATTGTCTGGAAATTTCCTGAATCATGCATTTTGTAAAACCTTACGCTACTCCTATGACTTAGTAAGAGACAGGTTAAATCACTCTCCTCAGGATAGTAAGACTGGTTGGAAATACTGCCCTCCGCCCACACAGTTATAGCTACAGCCTAGGTTCAATGATTCCTCATCCTTGTGTTTTTTTCTCATATTTAATTACTTCTTGAAAGATTAAGATTATATACAGAAAAAATAATTCTGGTATCAGAGAATACAGGTATAGTTTTTCATGTATCAGGACTATGTGATGATACTTAAGCAATAGTGTACATAGCATAATGCATGTTTAATATGGAGTATGAATAATAAAGGACTTTTCTTTTTCATCTTGTTTATAATGAAATTTTATCCAGAGTTTGGATCAAATAAATTTGTGTTAACTGTACTATTTTATTGAAATATTCCAGTCTTAATATTGGATAATTAGAAATAAACATTTTAAAGTATTTATGAATAAATAAGAATCTTTTCCTGTGTATAAAACTGTACTATTTTCATTAGAAATAAACATCACTTTCAAGAACCTATGTTTGATTTTGTCAATTAGAAGGAAAATTGTAGATCTTAGCAACAGTTGAATTATAATGACCCTTTAAAGATACATACTATGTGAGCATTGTGTGAAGATGAAAATCATTCTTTGATTTATCTCCGTGAGGTGAGGATTAGTAGAAGTGAAGATGAATTTGGACCCTAAGTGTTGCCTCAAATTTCGTTGTATTTAATGATGGCGAGTCGTTATTTGGTCTTTCTTAAACTTTACTCTTTTAAACTGTTACACTTTCTTTTTTTTTTTTTTTTTTCATTTGCTTAAGGCAGGGATGGAAAGAAAACTGTTGAAGCTGATTGAAGAAAGATTAGATGGTATAGCTTGCACCAGCTGTCTGTAAGGAGAGGAGAAATGGGTGACCTGTCTAAAGCGAAGAGAGAAGACATGAATATGGTAGCAACAATCTAAAGCAATCTTGCAAGGGAGGGGCAGGAGGAAAATCAGCTTCCAGTTATCTAAGCAGGTGATTCCCCAATGCATTGGCATCAGAAACCTCAGTTTCCATTTTTTGTTCCTTCTTACCTTTGCATGATGTCTTGCTGGCAACAGGACATGAAGAAACCATAAATCAGTCTTAGAAAATAGGAGGGTGGTCTTAATTTGGCTCCAAAGACCCTATTATAAAAACAAAAAGTAGGGGAAATAAATAAATATCTGTTGATTGATTAATAAGTGACCTGGTTTTAGGAGAAGCAGTGAGTAATAACCCTGCTTTTAAGAAGTCTGGTCTGGACAAGCTCTAGTCACTTTTAGGTCACGCCCTCACAATGCTGGTCCACTTTCTAGTGCCTCTGAATTTATGTCTCATGTGAGCCAGCCCTTATGGGCTGTCCTTCATGAGCCAACCTTGAAATTATCTTCTCACCAAAACTCACATATTTTGTCCCCCGACACCCTCCTGTTTCTAAAAACAAATGAATCCATGTTAATATAACAAATGCTCCGAAATCAGCCTTTTCTAAGTAACACCAACATTGTGTGTGGGCTTTTGGGAAACAGTTCATTATCTAAAA